CAATGCCATACCCCAACCAAAAGAGTTGAAATAGTTCATCAGAAGCTACCTTTATGAAGGACCACAATTTCAATGGATAGTTATTGTAACCCTAAGACTTGGTGTATGTAGGAAGAACCCGCTCAAAGTGACAAGATTTCAACTGAGTTCGGCTCCAAGTCTCTCAAGTATTAGAAATAAACTCACAAATAATCTATAGATGCTACTTCTAAATTCTAATTTGAGGTTTGGTAAGTTTCCTACAGAATTAAATCGACACTTAAAGCAACATCAAGGATAAATTTTCAATATCTTTGATGCACTTGGTAAATCATCTTTGGTTTAAGCAGGTTGTTCAGTGTATGGAAACCAACACTACTTCCCATAAATATGAATGCAATTGAAAGTAAATAGGCAATCTTGGGTGGGATGTAAAAACCTATAGCATGTGTTCATACCTCCAGAAGTCCCTTTCCCGTCGCTACCTCAACACTAATAGCTACAGCAAAGCCAACCATGGCAAGCCGGCCAAGCCATACATCCAAACCGCCTTCCTTCGTGCTTTGCTCACACCTTACAGAAAGTGGCATTGATTTGCATACTGCCTTCCTTTGATGATATACAGTTCTAATGACTGAAAACAAATTCAAACATCAGCTCTTATCCCACAAAATAGAGCAAAAACCCAGTGAAATGAAACCTAAGACTTTAGAAGATGAGTGATCAAGGTGAGAAAAAAGTTAATGTGCCATTTATGCTCTTATGCATACAACTTACAAGAACTTGCAAACTAGAAGCTTCTGTAAAAATTCTTATAGAGGGATTTTGCAGTCCTAATATCAACATATTTTCTTTCCACTAAATAATAATTCCATACAATGCTTCTTTAAATGTTCATAAAACCCAATTGAGCTGCATTACCCTTATTCCAGAAATGAAAATAAATTTTAAAGAAAACAACTTTTTCCTTGGTTTTTGAAATCTTGGTACCCATGGTAGTACAGGTTATGGTGGATTGCTAAACAGAAAGTCAAGGCAATTAGCAGAGAAGATAAAAGCTGTAAGAGTCAAAGGCTTACTGAGTGGAGAACCAGTAGAAAAGGCAGTCCCAATTCTAGGGGAATTGAAAAGGGGAAGCCGAGCAGGACTTGCTGCTGCTGAGCTAATACCACTTGCATCTGTTGCATATTTTAGAATTGCTCAAACATATTACATACGGAAATTTCAATATTGCAATATTCAATTACAGAGAGAGAGAGAGAGAGAGAGAGAGAGAGAGAGGGTACCTCTGATGGAAAGGGAGAGAGACGCAGAGATTTGAGCTACAGCCATTTTTCAGAGAGAGAGAGCTACAATTTTGGAGAGAGCAAAGTGGGAAGTGGTAGTTGAAGGTAAACCAACCATACAAATTTTAGGAGGGTAAGAGGACACGTGTCACCCTGCGACATTACAATTACAAAGCTTTGGATAGAGTTTTGTGCCTGTCAACCTTTTATTTTCTTCCCCTTTTTCTTCTTCTGAAATTCCCTATACTCAAAACAATAGTATCTATTTTTTTTATATAAAAAAATTATAGGATATTTAGAGATATAATATTAGACTGCACTATGTGGTGGATGGCAGCTCTGATTTTATTTTCTTTAATCAAACAATCCATCACATGACGAAATCGGGAGCAGTTTAACTGAAAATTATATTTTGACAAGTCAGAATTATAAAACAGAGAAACGGACTTGTATTTCAAGTGATTAAGAGTAATTACTATTTCATTCGAAGTGACCGATCCGCTTCTCGAATACCACTCCTATAAAAAAGAGAGATGAATATTGATTGGACTTAAAAAGATGAAAAATGCAATAAGTATTTTTATATGAAAAATTATTAATCGCTGATTGGAGAGGTTTTGCAGAGACGACGAGGATCGAGTAGGGCCAAACTTTTCCAGTTTTTTTCGTCCAAAAAAAAAAATAAACTTTTTCCAGTTTCCGATAATAATATTTCATCGGCGGGACAAACCCCAACAAGAAACGTTACTTCCACTCCCATTTCAACTACTTCCACACATCTGTAAATACTTTTCAAATTCCATGCAACTTGCCAAACATTACACAACATTGAAGCTCTGCAGTCTACACTGATCCAAACCCAGTACTCTCACCGTCTTCTTCTTCTTCTCTTCAACCCTACCTAGCTCCAATGGCTTCCCTCTCAATTGGGGTCCGCTTGCCTCCATCCCACCACCATTTGAAGAAACGCTCACTGCCCTTTCTTTCTCAGACCCAAAGCTTATCTCCTTCTCAGCCTTGCTTTGGCTCGTCTTTGCGTGGAATTCGAGGCTCAAGATTGCTGGGGAGTGGTATACTGGCCAGAGCTGAAGACGAAGCTAGAGGTTCGAATTCTTCTTCTTCGTCGGCTCAGCAGCACCAAGTTCAGCCCAGTTCCGAGAAAGAGTTTCAGGTTCTTCTTTGACAAAAGCTTCCTTTTTTAACAATAGCGAGTTACTAGTTTTCATATCGGATTGATTAAATTTGGCGAAGTTGGGTCCAAAATTCAATATACTCGGCTAAATTTGTGAAAGTTTGTAACTTTGATTAAATTGTTGAGATTTGGAGTCTCCTTTAGTGATAAAGTTTTATTAATGCCGTGACATTGGTATTAGAAATGCATCAGTTGCCCCTGCACATAATTTTATTTATTAGTTCATGGGAATGGAATTGCCTAATAGGATAAGGCATAGATTTCCCTTGGATTATCTATTAGTTGCTGGTTTCCATAGGGAACTAAATTCTCTGAACCTTTCAAACGACTCTATCAAATAAAGTTTTTATGTTTCAATTAGTGTGGCATCTTGTCATTTTTTGTTGCTGGTATTCACAATTTATGGATCACCTTTAGCATGTTATCAGGATTTGTCCCCAAGTTCTGGATCATGTGATCCTTTATGTTCGGTGGACGAAACGAGCTCACATGATTTTGAGGCCAATTACCGGCCAAAGACTGATTTGCTGAAAGCTATTGCAGTACTTGCAGCAGCTGCAACAGGGGCTGTAGCAATTAACCATTCTTGGGTTGCTGCCAATCAGGTACATCCTTATTTTGCAGCCTGATCGTTTTTTTGTGCCTTTCCCATGATTCCTTAAGTTATTTTTTAGCAGAAAATTGCACGCCTTAAAAAAGGATGCTTTATTTCAACATTAAGTTGATATGACCAACTCATGATACAGGATGTTGCCATGGCATTGCTGTTTGGAATAGGATATGTGGGCATCATCTTTGAAGAATCTCTGGCCTTCAACAAAAGTGGAGTAGGTTTGTTAATGGCTGTGAGCTTGTGGGTGGTGAGAAGTATTGGGGTAAGATTTATATTTTGCCACCTGGTTTTGCAATATCTTGTACACAGTTTCTCCTAGAACTAATTTTGATATTCTGTAGGCTCCTTCAACTGATATAGCTGTTTCAGAGTTACAACATGCATCTGCTGAAGTCAGTGAAATAGTATTTTTCTTGCTTGGTGCAATGACAATTGTAGAGATTGTTGATTCTCATCAAGGATTTAAGCTGGTTACTGACAATATAACCACTCGAAAGCCAAGGACGCTCCTTTGGGTGGTGAGTTCTTTGCTTCTGCTGTCATGTTGATATATATTAATCCTTTCTACTGAGCATTTGGTATATTCGACTTATTCTATCAGACAAATGCTTGACTCTGCAGGTGGGTTTTGTGACTTTTTGCCTTAGTTCAATTCTTGACAACCTGACATCTACCATTGTCATGGTTTCTTTACTGCGAAAACTAGTTCCTCCCTCCGAATTTCGCAAGTATGTTCTGACCATCTACTATCTATCTCTTCTATGTGAGGTTCTTTTTGAAGATTGCCTGATATAGGTTTCAGCAGATATCATCCAATGTGATGTTACTTGTGTATGTGAGGCAACTGTGCTTTTTTCTTTTAATAGTTTCAACTTTTAAAAGTTACTCTTTCTTGTTAATGTCTTGGAATAGTTCTAGGTAAGAATGTGCAACTGTGTTTCAAGGTCATATTAAGGTGAATGTATATCTGTTGAGATTCTTGTCTGAAACTTTTCATTGAATGAAGACATTGCTTCTCCGGTTTCTCAAGAAACAAAAGGGCAGATGGGATCTTGCATATTACTAGTTGGGAAACAGTTGCAACATTTCTATGTCAGTTTGGAAACTACATTGCCCTGCCTGCAATATTGCCACTTATTATTATTCCAGCCCAGGAATATTATCAACCTCCTCATTCTAAAAATGATCAGTTGTCTGTTGCATCTTTAACACCTTGTGGATAACCACTTGAGAAATCTTATGTCTTCTAAGTGAGGCTTATACCTCTTTGTGCAGGCGTTACTTATGAAATCAATTAGAAATTTTATAATCACTACAACTGTGTTTGTTCCAGATTATTTTATGAAGATTCTCTTTAAACAGCAACTTGGACATGCACTTTGAGATTGAATTTTTGGTACTCATTCCTGGATACCCTTTAATGGCATTGGCATCTCTTAAGCACCAGTTTAGCATGTTCATATTTTTTTTGTCATAATTTTTAGCATGTTCATAGTTCATACCTCAATGGGTCATTTATGAAGTTGTATTGATGCAATAATGGACCCCAAATTGATGCATGATTTTTCACTTCGTTTACAGAATTGTAATTTGTTTTCAGGATTTTAGGAGCTGTTGTTGTCATAGCAGCAAATGCTGGTGGTGCATGGACTCCTATTGGTGATGTTACCACTACTATGCTGTGGATACATGGTCAGATATCCACATTGGAAACAATGAAGGTCTTTTTCCTCATTCTGACAAGCTTATTCATATATCAAATTTCTTCTCTTATTTATTTATGAGTACTGCTATTTGTACCACATTTACTGACCACCTCTCTAATACAGGAGGGACCCACATACATTAGTGGGGCCCACTTATATTAGAGAGGTGGTCAGCAGTGTGGTCAATAAATGTGGTACAAATAGTATTTTTCTTTATTGATTTCATTTATTTTCACGTTGTCACATTATCTATTGCTAGGGATTTATGCTTGATGCCTGTTGATGTATTGTCTAATATAAAAGTGGAGATTGTACACAAGCAATCATGGAATTGTCTAGGAACTTGGTTTATGCTGCATATTAGTTCTATGCTGAACTTGGAAGTTTGAAGTGCAAGTTAGTTACAACAAGATGATAGCTCTATTGGTTTTTGGATTTGGCTTACCAAATGTTGAGGATGACAATACATAATTGATTTTTTTATTATAGTGTTATAAAATTGTGTGGACCTGATTGCTTTAGCGGTTATGTAATCAATTAGAGTGGATATAAGCATAACCCTGTTTTATGTGGCAAACCACTTGAAATTGACAATTCCATTTAGAGTTTCTGGTCCTATGTGCCAAGTTTTTTGTTCAGATATCTGTTATTTTGTCTGCATGAAAATATCATCCTTAAAGAATTATTTTGTCAATATTCTGACGTAAAATGAACACATTTTCTTGCTTACAGACCTTGTTTATACCTTCAGCCGTTTCTCTTGCTGTTCCACTGGCACTCATGTCCCTGACTAGGTACTTCTTTTGTGTTGTCAGACCAAAGACGGGGAACTGAGATATGAAAGTTAGTAACTTAGAATTACTTAATGGATAATAGAGGAATGATATGAGTTTTTCTTCCATTCAGTGAAGTAAGTGGGAAATCGCGGGACACGTCCAATGTTATGGCATCTGAACAGATGGCTCCTCGGGGAAAGCTTGTTTTCTCTGTAGGCATTGGAGCTTTGGTTTTTGTTCCAGTGTTCAAGGCCCTAACTGGTTTGCCTCCTTACATGGGTATTCTGCTGGGACTTGGAGTCCTTTGGGTTCTGACTGATGCTATACATTATGGTGAATCAGAAAGACAAAAGTTAAAGGTACCACAGGCTTTGTCACGAATTGACACTCAAGGAGTACTTTTCTTCCTTGGCATCCTGTTGTCTGTTAGCAGGTGAATAGACAAATACTGTTGTCAACTTCTTTTTCTTGCAATTGCATCATATAATTAAGCAGTCAAGAAGTTTCAAGTCAATCATATATATTGCACGGCTTGGCTTTTTATGTGCATAATATGCAAAAGTTGTCCCCTGCTTCTTTTAAAAAGTGGCTTCATAAGTTTCACTTTCTGAACTTAACTTTCTTGTATTCTAGCCTGGAGGCAGCGGGAATTCTTCGGGAGTTAGCAAATTACCTGGATGCTCACATCCCCAATGTTGAACTGATTGCAAGTTCAATAGGAGTTGTATCGGCAATTATAGACAATGTTCCACTGGTTGCTGCAACTATGGGGATGTATGATCTAACTTCCTTTCCAAAGGATTCTGAGTTTTGGCAACTGATTGCATATTGTGCTGGTACTGGTG